AGATATATAGATAGATATGTCGTTTAGAAAAACGAATCTGCTCAACCGACGTGGACGATTACTGTTCTGTCCAGGTCGGTCGCGGATCGATTTCCTAGTGGCGCGACCGAACGCCAGAGGGGGAAAGAGAGAGTGAGAGAGAGCGAGAGAGAGAGAAGGAACGGCTTGAGAATGGAAGAGAGGGTGAGACGGAACCAGGCAGTACCATCGAAAACGGGGGTTGGGACGCGTCGCGTACGAACCTCGCGCTTGTGCGCGTTTATGTTTCTGACCAGTCAAAGAGACCGCCGTGAAAGAGAGAGAGAAAGAGTGGGAGGGAGGTAGTGAAAGAGAGAAAGAGAAAGAGAAGGAGAAAGAGAAAGAAAGAGAGGGGGAGAAAGAGAGAGAGAGAGAGAGAGAGAGAGAGAGAAAGAGACAGACAGAGTGAGGGTGTAGGATCTTTGAAAATGGTTTCCACTTGGAAGGATGTCTCGTGCAAGACGGTGGAAACTTGTCTGAGAATTTGATCGATTAAACCCCCCACGAAATGACGTTGTTCTGTAATTTTCTTTTCTTTATATTTTTCTTCTTTTTTTTTATTTTTTGTTTTTGTTTCTTTTTTTTTCCCCTATAGAATGTTCAACCTTCCTTTTCAATCTTTGTTCCAATGTATTATGTCGATGTTGAAATGTTTTTTGTGTGATTATTATTCCTTTGCAATCACGATCCAATTGTAATTTTTTAACGATAATAAATGATACCAGACGAAGAAGACGTTCCTGTCTACCACGAGGACGAGGGCGAGGGCGACTCTTAGTGACCTCTGGCGATAAAACGATCGTGACCATTTGGAAAGAAGGGTTGAACGCGTGTATAATGAAATATTAGCATGAACGAGTCTCTCTCTCTCTCTCTCTCTCTCCTTTTCTTTCTCTTTCTCTTTCTCTTTTGATTTCTCTTATGATTCGGTTCGATGGTAAAAAATCAACGAGATTCACTCTTCGTCGCTTTGGTCATTTATCGAGACCACCGATGTATCCAACCTCACTGAACAGCAAAGCCTCCTCGTTCCTCCCTTCTGACCCCCTTACGCCCTCTGATTCTTGTCGGTCGATAGACCCAACTCACAGCGTACCTTCCTCCCTCCCCCTCTCTTTCTCTCTCTCTCTCTCTCATTCTTTCTCGTTTCCCTCTCTTCCCTCTTCCCTCTCTCTCTCTCTCTCATTCTTTCTCGTTCCCCCTTCCTCTCTCCCCTCCCCTCTCTCTCTATTTCGCCATTCTCCTCCCCCCCTCTCTGTGCTATGATTTCAAGTTCCTCGAAATATATTTGCTAAACTCTTAGCTTTCATTGGCGTCGATGAAATCGCCATTTCGTGTGTACAGCCTTTGCAAAAATGCTTTGATACATAATTTACACGTTAACAGCTTTGTGTTTATATCAACATAACAAATGTATAACGATTACATGTATTTACTTCATTCCAAGAGATGGGCGAAACCGAAACAAATTTAGAACTATCGATCCTAAACTTTCGACATTGATGAAAATCTAAATGTTTCGCTTAAATTAGCTCCAGTAATTCAGCGGGAGAATTTAAAAGATCACTCAAAGGCAATCATATAACAATCTTCGTTTCGTTTGACCTTACTATTCCATTTGTCATTTAACCTAGCAGCAAAACGTCGCTATCCGAACGAAAATGTAGAGAAAATTGGACGTAACATTAACTGCGAGAAGAGGGAAAAATTAACTTCGTAATAGCTTGCTCGATTATAAGCAGCTATCGTTTAATCCTCGCAATAGCCTAGTAGATTCTAGATGGGAGCCAGGAAACGAGGGCTTCCTGTTCGCGTTTAAGAATCCGATCTCTCTCTTTCTCTCTCTGTCTCTCTCTATCTCTCTGTTTCTCTATCTCTCTGTTTCTCTCTCTCTCTCTCTCTCTCTCTCTCTCTCTCTCTCTCTCTCTCTGTTTCTGTCTTTCTATAACAGATGGATTTCTTTGATCATTCCGTGAATTTCATTTAACAACCAACCCACATTTATTCTTTTACGTAAACGTATTTCTCGAATAAGGAATTAAAAGTTCAGGGTGATGTTTGATTATCGTCGTCATTGTCGTCATCGTCCTTGTCATGGTAGTATCCGTTGTCGTTGTTATCGTTGTCGTTGTCATCATCGTTGCTTACGATATAGGGTCGCTTTTGTCGTTAAGGAAAGTGGACGAACTGGCGACACCGTGTCTACTATTCGTTCGTTCCTTACCTTGACTACTCCTATCCTTGTACGTCCCAGGGTGACGACCCCAATAGGGGGAGCCTGTGTCTCCCCTTTTTCTACTTTGACTTTATTATTTATATGAGAAAGAAAAGCCGCGAATACGTAGAACGAAAAAACTTCTTGGAGGGAGTTGGTCGCAATGTTTAAAAATGAATTGTCCTATGTTCGTGCAAAGGGTGTATCCCTTTAAAATAAACTGTTTAGTCGTCGAAGCCCTATTCGTTAACGCAATAATTGAATTGA